TTCAGAAACGTTCTGGGATGCGGCAAAAAGGTGTCAAGGTGTAAAAGAACAAATGTGGCCTAAACCCGCAAGTGGGCGGGGTTGGCACCAAAGTGGGCGGTGCTTGGATCGAAAATTCATAAGTCTATTCAGAAACGTTCTGGGATGCGGCAAAAAGGTGTCAAGGTGTAAAAGAACAAATGTGGCCAAATCCCGAAAGTGGGCGGGGTTGGCACCGAAGTGGACGGGGCTTAGATCAAAATTTCATAACTCTGTTCAGAAACGTTCTAGAACGCGGGAAAAAAGTGGTAAGAGGAATTGGAACAAGTGTAGTTAAGTCCTCAAAGGGGGCGGAGCTGGCACATAGAAGCGGGGCTAGAACCAAAAATTCATCTCCTCAAAAACTTTCTGGAATGCGGAAAAAATGGTTTGGAGCAGTCAAAAGAAGGGTGGTCAAGTTCATTGTGGAAAGGGTTTCACCAAGGTGGAGCTATGATCAGCCACTAATAATTGTGCTCAAATATATCGAGCGTGATGCTATCAGCAGTTCAGCGTTCGAAACTAAAGAGACCTATCTTATTCTGATTATCCAACATTCCGCTTAATGATTCCATCGTGGATAAGTGGCCGTCGACATATACTGCGCGCGTTAGCGTGCATAGCCAAACTGGTTGTTGAATGAACGAAAAAATGTAATCTCGAACATACCATCTATGTCTCTAAGAAAACGGTGGTCACTTTTGATCTTTCATTATTCATGTATTCAAATTTACTTATTAATGAGAACAAATATACAAAGTTGAGAATACCATCTATGGGGTGTACGGTGAGTACGTTGACTTGGGGTCGTAGCTCGTGGTCGTGCCATTACCTGAAGAGATACTTTCTTGCCCCATTCCACACGTTCTTTTGCTTCAGAAACGTCATGTAATTTCAGGAAATGATCAAAATGCTCACGAATAATGACATCGAAGTTGGAAGGAAAGGGCGCATTCTTCGTCGTATGATTGCAATATGCCAGGACGGTTTTACTGCTATAGAGGTGGCTTTGCATATTTATTTTTCTGCAATTAGAGGGATTTTTACGTTCCGTGAACGTGTGACACGTGACCCCCCTGTACTCCACCACACACCCCCGTGGGCTTTACCCGGGGTACCTTTGCTTTGCGTCGTATATGTGACGGGTGTTTGGAGGGCGCTTCAGCGTGTGTTCGGGATACTGTGTCACACGTTCACGGGACGATTAAATCCGTCTTGTCTTTCTGCATTATTATTGTGCGCAAGTTCCGCTTCGAAACAGTATGTTTTGAGGTTTGTCCGAAGCCAGTCATTGCGGCTATCCACTCACATTGTGTAGGTGCAGGTGTGGATTTGATAACGGCATGCGATATTCGTTACGCCAGCAGTGATGCTGTGTTCAGCATAAGGGTATCATTCGTTATTTTCGTTGCCTATTCTTTCCAGCTTCGACGTATTATAGGAAGTTGAAATTGGAATGACCGCTGATGTGGGAACGTTGAATCGATTGCAAAAGATTGTTGGTAATGACAGCTGGACTAGGGAGTTGGCTTATACAGCAAAGGACATTGGTGCAGATGAAGCACTCAAGTTTGGTGAGCTGCTCAATGACTCGATCTTAAATTTTGTCGTTCTCTCTTATATTCGAATTTTCTCTTCAGTCACTCGATGGTATCACTACCACTGTGCTCACGTCGTCCTGGTTCTTTGTCAGAAAGTCCGAAAATTGTCCGTCTGTCTGCCTGCCTGCCTCTCTGTCTGTCTATTTGTCGGTTTGTCTGTCTGTCTGTCTGTCTGTCTGTGTGTCTGTCTGTCTGTCTGTC